TAAACTCTCTTTGCTCAAAAAGAAATCACAGAAACCCACCTGATCCGGCAAAGTTGAGAGAAGAGAAAGAGAGATTCTTGCGAGAATCATAGCCGCCGAGGATGTCAGAGGCTCTCCGGTGTCTGGCTGCACCTACGAAGAAGAATGATTATCATCGGCAGGTTCTTGGTGAGTGAATAATTCTACGGAACTAATGCCAACAACGGGTTCGCGATGAGTGATTGGCTGCTGGCAACGACCATGGAGTTGAGATAGAGAGAGAAGCGGAAGAGATGCATCCACGCCTCCTCACCAGAGACTCCAAGGACACTTGATTCTCATTCCCAGCATCTCTGCAACAAACAAAGCTAGAGAAATGAGTGACTGATGAGCAAAGCAGGGATGGGAGAGAAGGAAGAGAGTGTGCAGTGAAATAAGAAAGAGGTTTCTAATTTGTCTCTGAGGCTCTGACCCTCTCTCCTCTCGACTAATTGTTTGTGTGGTGGGGAAAACCCTCAACTTCTCTGCGAAGGATCGCACTATCCGAGAAACTTCTTGTGACCTGATGACGACTGCAGCACTCCTCCCAAACCTTCCCATCATCACTAATAAGACCAGATGTGAAAAGTACACTGGATTTGAGGCCGGCGCGAAACTCGAAGACCCCAACACAACAAAAGAAAGGCGTAAAGGAGCTGGAAACCGGCGGCCAAGCAACCAGCAACTCCTTTGGACAACATCAGGGCCCACGCCAAGCAGCCAACCAATCAGAAGCAGGTGAATAGTAAAATTGAGTCTGTATGAATAGCAAAACGTGCCTTGAGCTATAGTGATCGGCGTTAGTGGAAATAATGTTTCTTAATTCTTGATACAACCCTGGGGGTTGGATTTTTACCAAAGTACGCAGCAACACAATCAATCCAAGGATTGGATTGATTAAAACGAATTTCGAACCAATAACAAGGATGTTCTTGGGTGTTTGGATAAAACAGAATCAAACGTGCAATTCCACACCTGGGGAAAGGCTCGATTGATATAAGGATAGATGCCCGGCCACGATCAACGCGTTCTTGATCGATACAAGAGCTCAACGAGCTTTGAATCCACCAAAGCTCACACAAGTACGCAAACTTGCAAAAACCCAAAGGTTTCAATTCAATTCTTCAAAGTCTTATCATTACAATGTAAATAGAAGAGTATTTAAAGGCAAATAAACCTAATACAAACCTAGATGAACAAGGAAACAAATAAGGTAAAATTCTACTCTAAAAAGGTTACAAAATTCGGACACAAACTTCCTTTCTTGAAGCACAAGTAAGCTGCCCGCAAAACAGTCAAAAGGCAGCTTTCGTACTAACTTTGTGCCTTGCGTTCGAGGTCTTCCCGAACTCCAATCTTTCATCCGATTCCTTCCCTTGGTAGATAAACATACCTAGTTTTATGTTGTGGAAGCCTTTGGACTTGAATCAGATCCATACTCCTCGAATTGAGCTCTAAAGTAGGCTTCACAAAACAGTTTTCTGCCTTAGCCATTTTCTGGCAGTTTTCCAGTTTTGAGGTAGCAACTTTGAGGCCTTGGAAAACAACCTTAATGACATCATCTGGATCCAAAAAGCATACCATTGGAAAGATGGTAACTTTATCTGCAAAACAAACCCTTAAAATAGAATTTCCACCAAGCCAATTGAGAGAACCATGCCTCCAAAGTATGTACCCTGAACACGGATTTTGACTTAGCCAAATTCTGCCTTTCTTCTTCCCAACTTTGATAGCTTCTTTGTCAAGTAATTGTGACGTGAATAGTTGACCATTTGGGATCATATCAATTCTTTTACTACGATTTATGGTTCGGTCCATATGATAATTTGTTGGATTTTGGTTTATATTTTTTTAGATTTATGGAAGGGGAGGGGTTGTTTATAGGGGTGGGCAACGGGAAACGGGTATTTGGGTATACCCGTATGGGTACCCATATTACCCGTAATATTATAAACGGATGAGACTTGGGATTGTACATTCCTAATATGGGTACCCGCGGGTTACCCGCAAATACCCGTTTGGGTAATGTGGGTACCCGTTTTACCCATTTGCGAACTCTAATCCATAGAAAGGGGTCCACTTCGCCACAAAGATGAAACTTTTCTTAGTAAAGAAACAAAGAACGCTATGTGAACATAATACTTGTAGTCTGCACTCTGCAGTGACATGCAACCTAAACTCATCCCTGTCCAAGAAGTACCATAGATTATTTTCATAGTTCAAAGTAGTCATCAATCGCTAAAGGAACCTCAGCGGTGTATGATTCCTTAACATTGAAATTATTAGTTACATTTTTCCTTCTACCCTGCTGAGTGCTGACAATAGCTGAATGCATGCAGGTTACCCTGTATACCACTCAATGTATGATGACTTTGTCTGGATGGAGAAGTTTGGTGACCCTAATTTTCGCAGACACATCGTTGTGATTGTTCATGATTTGTGTTGAATGAAACTTCTAATTTGATAATTTGGTGCTTAGAATGATTTATTTCTATGCGTTGTGATTGTTCATGATTTGTGTCTTGTGATTGTTAAGCAAGTACAAGTTAAGTTTAAACTTTTGTTAAAATTTGAGTGGTTTAAACTTTGGGTATTTATGGGTAGTATGGGTACCCGTTATCCGTCCCGTACGGTAATGGGTACCCGTTTCCCATATGGGTTTGGGATATGGGATGGACTTTGGCCTCCAAATGGGACTGGGTACCCGTTTAAAACGGGACGGGTATCCCGTCCCGTTGCCCACCCCTAGTTGTTTGTTTTGTGGTTGATTTTGAAATTCAAAATGGGCAATTCGATAAATTACATATTAAGTTAGGACGATGGTTAGTAATTTTTAGGACGACCTTTAACATTCCGTTGTTTTTCATTCCAGGCCTCTCCTTCACGTTCCTCTTCAACATATCGGAGATGTCAATTTTGGAAAAATCAACATTCTTAATACTTCTGAAATCAGCATCATACAAATGCTCGGACAACCGCGAATTCCCACAACCAGGCACGATAATCTTCGGCGAGGAAAGGACGCCGAAGAAGAGGGAGAGGAGGGGCTAGCTCAGCTCCGACCACTCCGCGTACCACTCGAATTCATCCTCGACGCCGTGAATGGTGTAGAACTTGTCCCAGGTTTCCTTGCTAGTGAAGTCTCTGAAAGTGTTGAGGAAGTCGTCGGTGGACGAGGATTGCTTGCCCTTCTTCCCCATTTTCGTGTGTGTTCTCCTTCAACTTCCGGAGGGTTCCGGTTACACGGGAGGTTTAGCTAGAATCCTAGGAGGGAGTTAGAATCGACTCTCGACGACCGTAATTCATGCTAGCTTTTTAGTGGGCCGCATGAGCCCATACCCAGATACTGAGCTTGAAAAGACTGATAGCTCGTAGTTGCTGTCAAAATGGGCCCAAAACGATGGAGAGTTTCTTATTTATTTATACCGGTCAATACCCTCCAATGGAGTGTGCAACAAATTGGTCCGTATCGGACCAAACCAACACTTGGATCAGAGAATATCAACGAATTCTTGGTTCGATGAATTTGATATATATGGAAGAAAAAAAAATGACGTGACATTTGGACAGGACCAAAGCGGACCAAATGTAATGTTGTTTCGATCCTTGGTCCTAATATAACTTTCTCTATTGAGTCGCGATTCTCATTAGTTTGGTCTGGTCCGGTCCGGAACATTGCACACCCTACCTCCAGGTAAAGGGTCGGATAATTGGTAGTAGTCTTTCAACTTAGTCAAGGTGTGGTGGTGGATTCATTTGGAGGGTCCTTGTTTTAGGAATGTCTTCAGTTAGTGTTTTTCGTTAGTCGAGTCTTATCTTAATCGATAGTATAGTGCGATTCCGCCTATTAGGTTGCTCATGAAGTGGTACGTAAAATCATGTTGATGTCTCGCTAAAACTAGTTTCCTTAGAATGTGTAGGATGGTTTCACAAAACTGTTGTTTTAGGAGATTTTTGGATAGAGATATCTTTCTTACTTTTTTCTTTTGTTATTGGATGGGAAACATCAAGGATAAGTTCAAGTTTAGCAAGTTAATTACATAAAATCAACCTAATTTATCAAAACCAAATCTAAATATATTCCGATCAAGAGGCAAGATCCAAGCTAGCTATAAAAACAATAGTAGAAGTTCTCGTTAGTCAGTACTCTCGTTTGCTGCCTAGATTCCATCAGCTCGTCGAAGCGGCCAATATGCTCCAAATCAAGATTATCCATTATGTGAAAAATGGTTATTCCCCTTTCCATTCTTTTGTTTGATCTATGTGAAACAATTGATTGAGAAATAACCTTTTGGCATAAACAAGATGCAAGTGAGAACCGAAATAGATATAGCTGCTTATGTTGAGAGAAGGTTGGTTGAGGAACTCAAACTTCTCAATAAACTAATAGCCATTGGAGGTAACAAGAAAAAGTGAACATAAAGACAACAATATTGGAAGCAAAGAAGAGAAGAGTAGATCAAAGCAAAGTGATGATGATGAAGAAAACTAAAAGCAATAGTTAATTACCACTACTCTAAGTCACATATGAACGGTTCGACTTCAAAACCAGTTATGTATTAGTGTTTGTGAAATCATAGTGTACCGGCGGTTCGATCTGAAAAATCTCTTAACATAGAATACACAGTACACTGATAGACAATTTTTAGCAGTATGAAACTGTTGAACCACAATTAAATCACAATTTCCAGCACAAAATACTCTAGTTCTAACTTTTTCGGTACTACTTTACAATCCTTGCTATGTAATAATGGGTCTTTATCCCCCTGCTTCGCTCTTCTTTCGGCCATTCGATGTCTTTTAACTCGAGGTTGACTGTTTCACACTTTCACTCGTTTATATCGTAAAATGAGCAAATTCGTAGTGCGGTTACAAAGTATAATCTCGGCTATTCTTTATGTACATGAATATAAGTGAACTCACACTGAATATTAGATATAATTACCTGAAAATATAAATATTTGTCCGAGACAAAAAAAAAATATTTGCGGACAACAACAAGTAAAACAAAACAAAAAAGAAATCCAAGAATTTTAGCTAAGCAAGCGACACATACAAAGAACTTTTTCGTGTTTCACAATTCACTCATCTAGTAGTAGTAGAGGCTAATAATAAATAATAAGTTCACTAAAACAAATTAGAGACGAAGATTGCCTGTAACTTGAGGGGAAGCCAAAGCTGAAGGTTGTCCTGTCTCAAACTTCCTGCAGGTTGAAGAAGGAAGCAATGGCAGTCACAATGATGGTGAGAGTTCCAGTCCCTATCCATTTTCCCTCTTCTTTTACTATCAGTAGTTGCTTTCTGAAGCTCTCATCAGTCGTGTTATCTGGGTTTGCATAGCAGACACCAATGAGGACCAAATCAGCTGCGGACTTGGAAACTAGAGACAGTATGGTCGTCCCCAACTGCACGGAGGAACCAATCATTATCAGAGCTACTGAAACAAGAGACTATGATAACATTCACAGCAAGCTGCAAGGTCCAAGAAGATCAGCCACAGATTGCTCTGCCACTACTGCCTCGCAGTTTCATCAAACACAGAGAGCAGCTCTGTTGGCATCAAGGCAAATGCGGAAAACAGTTAGCAGCTCGGCTCTCTACAGCCGCAGCTGCAGTATTGCTATAAGTACTGATAATGGATCCAGTACTACTGCTAATAATGGGCGTCCTCAGTCTCCCCTGCCTCTGCCTACTCCTGCTACTTCATCTTCTCCAGCTCCATGGGAAAGAAAAGCTGCAGGTTCATCGCCGAGACCTGAAGGCCATGCCCCTCAGACTCCTGCCAGGGGGCCACCCCGGTTCAGATCGTCGTCAGCTGCCGCTCGATTCAGTGACGCGGTACGTGATTGTGTAACTCCATGTAGCTCTTTCTTTTTGTTATGTTCTTTAATTTCTCTTGACGTATATGGGTTTGGTCTGGTCACTGGTGGGCAGTCTGATTGCAGCAGCTCTGCGGTGCCCAAATTCGGGGACTGGGATGAGATGGATCCTTCATCGGCTGATGGATACACCCACATTTTCAACCGGGTCAGAGAGGAGAGGCATGCTGCAGCAGCAGGAGGAAATACACCAGTCTCCAATGGTACTGGTACTCGTCACTCCCAGCAGGCCAATAGAAAGCACCATCCAAGGACCAGGAGAAGAAACTCCAGCAACAAGGTATTTATACATAGATACCTGTCAAATAAAAAGAGATGAGTTGTTGTACTCTGCTGATTGATTCTTTTGTTGCATTGATGGCAGAGCTGGTACCACTGCTTCACATGTTTCTGAAGATGATGAGTGACGAGCGCGGCAGGGTGCAGCTAACCATTGGAAGATCATGATCCGGGGATCGAGCCGGTTCAAAGGCCAACTGGATCATCGAACTACAATGGATTAGCAGCCGCGTATCAAGAATCCCTGTTACTTTGTGGGTGACATTGAGAAGGTCGCCACCATGTCATCTAAATAATAGCTTTCTATCAAGGAGTCATGGTCTTATTAAGGTTTTGTGCTTTTGGAGTGAGTTTTGACTACTTCAGTTGTTCTTTTTCTTCCATAGATACCTGGGGAACAAGTAGACTGTAGACACAAAATACAAAGCCTTTACAGGCAATAAGCACAAAGCTATGAGTAAGAGGGACGATAATCGTCAATTGATAAGAGAGGTTTTTTGCTACGATAAAAGCAGTTCTTTGATATCTTTTTAGCATGACCAGAATCCCCGACTTAACTTCTACCCTTTGTAGAGCGAAAGTCGTCAACCGAACCTCTCTCGCTATATGATGAAAGCAGTACAACAAACCCTGCAAATCTGACGGACAAAAAAGCACATAGTGGTTTGAGTCCCTACAAAATGAACAAATGCAAATGCGGGGACGAGCCCCCTAGCACCTGCAACTGGGGAAACCTTCTGTTTTACTCGCGTAGAAGCAATTGTATGTCCCCTTCTTTCAAGAACGACGCATCAAAACAGATCTTCACCGTTTCTTGTATTCTACAGTGCCTTATGTTTTGTCAAACTGAAAAGATGGAATCATTTTTCTCCCATAATCATTTGATCTTATTAAAGTAAACAAGTAATACTGTTGTGTTGAAGTTGGTAGCTAAGAGTGTTGGTACATGACTTTCGTAGCTTTACAACAACGGATTCAGTGCGGTAATGGATAAATTGTCTTACCATCACTACTATACACAAGGAAAGGCTTCATTTTCGTATCAACTTGCAGCACAGCATGGCTGACGCTCAGTAAAGAAGGTGGGCAAATCTTATCAAAACTCAGCCACAGAAGAAGAGGCAGATGATGATTCGCATCTTGCCTCCACGGCCAATGTCTTGGTAACCCTAGGGCATGGATCCCCGAACACGGAATTAGAAACCTCAATGTGGCACTTGTTTTTCCCCCGGCATGCCTGCAAGATTGAGGAGCAAGGAAACCACCCACCATCAAACCATTAAACTGATCTAGGGAGAGGCTTTGGGTATACAACCAAGGTCATGAGTCATGACATGAGACTTACCTCGGAAACCAATAAAGCAGAGCTAGCCGCATGGCAGCTGCCACGCGAAAAGCTCTGGCAGCTGCCCTTGGGAGTTCCGTAGCTAGCGAATTCTATGGAGGAGATTGTGTAGCCTTCCTGGCACCGTATATGCACTTCTGGTGCTCCGTCTGTGATTGAGATCTGTCCATCAACAGAGCTTGGACAAGACCACTTCGCGACAGGTGGATAGTCGGACTCCGAGACGCTGCCACATACAGTTCGAGAGGATCGTACGTTCACTGAAACCCCAAATGGATTGCCTCCTGTTTCCTCAAACAGTACGAGCGAGTTGCTGTTTGATTCTCGGAGCCATGAGCGTGGGACGTGGTACCTGGAAAAATTCGAAAAATAGAGCAAAACCATTTAAGTGGCATTGGCACCAAAAGAACTGGACTAATTCAGGGTAACATAAACAAACAGCCATTATATTTGTTTACCATGTCTGAGTGGGATTCCCACAGTTTGTTCTGCATTTCTCTGGTCTGTATGCTCCAGCGTAATTGCAGGATTGGCATCCGTTTTTAGGAGAAACAATGGTCCAATATCTTCCGATGTGGTGTCCGTTCACCCATGCCTGGCCCTTTCCCATGCTTCCCAAATCAAGTGCAACTGGATCAGTCCCAGCTGGTGCATCAAAGTAAGTCTGCACGAAACAGAGGAAGGTAAAGGCCAGAGTACATACATAGCAGGAATGAAGACATGTCATGAGCGTGATCAGCTAGTTCTTAATTTGGAAATTCTGATTGTCAAACTGATAGAACCTGGTGAAAGAGCACGGATCTAGGTGTGCGATTGGGGATCGTGATTGGTATGAGAATTAAGGATTTGGGATGAGGTAGAATTTGGGAATTAGGATTGAGAGAAGAGGATTCCGGGCACCGGGATGGTGGCCGACGGGTTGGAGAGGGAAGAGGGGGTTCGGCTATGAGAGAGGGAGAGAGAGTTTTAGGGAATAATTCTATTGTTATTGCTTAACCTTAACCTAGGCCTAACACAGAATATATATAAACCGACTAATTCCCTATAACTACCCAAAGACTTAACCTAACCGAATTAGCCCCAATAATTCCCGAAATAGCCGACATAACATAAAACGTCCAAATAACAAATAAACCCTCAATTAATGACTATCTAACATCCCATCCCCTTGGAACCCACATTGCCCTCAAGGTGGACTTTCTTTCTTCTCCTCCTTCTCTTATGCTTCTCGCGCCTCCATTTCCTCTCCTTCATCTTCCCAGTTCCCAACCAACAGCATTAGATGACCCTTGGCGCATTGATGCCCCACCGTGTACCTCTCGTCGCAGTTGAAGCAACGACCGTCTCTGCGCTTCTGGTCCATTTCCGCCTGAGTCAGCCGGACAAACCCCTTCGGTGGCAGTCTTGACTGGAACCTGTTCACTAATGCCGCTCCAGTGGCCGCCGCGCTTGCATTTCCCGACGGAGGTGAGGTACCAGCTCCTGCTCCCATTCCTCCACTGGCTTTTTGGATACGCCCAGCCGACGTCCTCCAACTAGCCAGCTCCTCTTCCTTGCGCCCTGCAATCCTGAAAGCAACTCGAAGAGAGTCAGGTTCAAAAACCTTAACGGCGGTCGCCAGCTCGGGACGAAGCCCCGCCATGCACAGCCCCACCAGAGTCTCCTCTGTCATTTCCTTGCACTGGTTTCCCAGCTTAAGGAACTCCGCTTGATACTCGGCTACCGACCATGTCTGTCTGAGGTTGGCCAGCTGTTCCGGAGCCCAGCCCTCTGCCTTGCCAAACTGGTATCGCAGCTTATCCTGGAACCTAGGCCATGTTATGACCTCACTGGCCGCTGCATAAGCTCGCTCGGTCCATTCCCGCCACTGGAGGGCATCTCCCTCAAGATAGAAGGACGCCAGGTGCGCCTTCCGCTCTTCTCGGATTGGGTGGTTCCTGAACCATCTCTCAGCTGCATACAACTCAAACCCACATCTCCCGAGCCGTCGAACTTGGGGAACTCTATCACTGGCGGTTTAGCCACACTCTTGATGGTAGTGGATGCCCTCGGCTCGCTGCTGGGGAGGGTAGGGCCAGTCGCCCGTCACCTCCTGGTGGTATCCATGGTACTCAGGCTTGGTCTCCGACCCTTGCCCAATATCCCGACAACCTCGACCGCGTCCCCCTCCTGCTCGCGGTGTACTCCGGGCCCTTGCCGGGACCCCTGTTCGAGCCCGCGACCCAGCCCCATCTCGCCTCCTCTGGGCACGGGTCCATCCAACCCTCCGGGTCACCAAAACTCAACTCCTCCTCCTCGGGCCAGGGTTCTTCTCCACCAGGCCCAATCGGCCATGACTCTCCTTCGTACCCTGCCATCTTCTGCTTTCCGCAGGCCTTGTCTTGGGCCGCTTCCATCGGCGTTGGCAGCAGGCCAGGCCCGCTGAATGCAGGCGCGGTTGCGCTCCTAGCGCCCAAGTTTTCCGGCGCCCCGCTCGACGCGGCCACCACCTGCGTCGCCCCTGCCTCGTCCCCGCCGACCGGCGGCTTCTCCGCCGCCTTCTCCTCCTGGCGCGCCCCCGCCCCTGTCTGCCCAGCGCCCGCGTCGTCGCGTGGAGCCTCTTGTGCCCCCGAGCCCGCCGCGGCTGTTGCTGTCGGTGCCGCCCCCATAGCCGGGACCACCAGCCGCTCCTGGTTCTTCAAAACTTGGGTTAGCACCTCCTGCATCGTCCCCGCCAGGGCTCCGCAGATGTTTTCAGCCACACTCTTGCCCATCTTTTCGATGGAGGCCTTGATTTCATGGCTTCGATGGCTTTGATCGAGCCCTTCGAGGCCTCCGCTGCCCTCACAGTGACCTCGGTCAGGCTCTCCAACGATGCTGTCAGCGCGTCATACTTGTTGGTCGTCACATCCTTGACTGCCACCACCTCATTGGCCTGGCGTGGCGGTTGTTGTTTGTCCGGTGGGTTCGACATCTTCAGACTGCAGAATTTCTTCAGAGAATCGGCACACCAGCCAGGCTCTGATACCAGTGAAAGAGCACGGATCTAGGTGTGCGATTGGGGATCGTGATTGGTATGAGAATTAGGGATTTGGGATGAGGTAGAATTTGGGAATTAGGGTTGAGAGAAGAGGATTCCGGGCACCGGGATGATGGCCGACGGGTTGGAGAGGGAAAGAGGGAGTTCTGCTATGAGAGAGGGAGAGAGAGCTTTAGGGAATAATTCTATTGTTATTGTTTAACCTTAACCTAGGCCTAACACATAATATATATAAACCGACAAATTTCCTATAACTACCCAAAAACTTAAACTAACCGAATTAACCCCCAATAATTCCCGAAATAGCCGACATAACATAAAACGTCCAAATAACAAATAAACCCTCAATTAATGACTATCTAACACTTGGGATTATGGTTCTATCGAGAATTGGGGATTTAGGGATTAAGAACAATATTAGGGATTTTGAGAAGAGAAAGATAGAGAATCGGCCTAGGCCTTTAGAGGGATTGAGATCGAGAATTGAGAGGATTGGGAGAATAGGGTTTAGGAGATTGTTTCTTAATATTCTTCTTATTCCCCGAATAGACGAATAACAACGTACATATATAGCAAAGAACCATAAAACCCTAACAAATAACCTAATACGACTAAAAGACTAAGTACTCTAATATAATAATAATTATAAAAACCGAACGGAAGTTGGTTTCTATCATCCCTTCCCCCTTGGAACCAACCTTGCCCTCAAGGTTGACCGACTCGACCCGATTCTCTATGTCGTCCATGCAAACCGAGCCTTGGCCAATCCATTTCTTGCATCTTTTTCCTCCAATTGTGCTCCACCACTCGAACAAATCTCACCCTAGCAACTCCGACTCCAATGGCTTCTTCTCTATCCTCGTAGTTTGTGTCGCAACCGTGGTCAAATGACTCTTCACCCTCCTTTTCAAACTCCACAAAGTAAGAATCAGAGAGTGATTCTTCTTCGAACCCATCACCCAAGCCCACGAATTCACCTTCTTTTTCCTTCAAACCCACGTCGTACCAAAGAGTCCATAAAAGACAGCTAATACGTGGCCCAAGAATTGGCCCATTTGACTCCAAAACTTGCTTGTCACTTGTCCTACTATGCTGACTCCCCTGGCCCAAAGCAAATTCCACCAAGTTGCCCACTACTCCTGGCCCATCTTCCACAAGTCTCATCTCATTAATTGACTCTTCCCAACTTTGGCCTAATTTCCTCCTCACTTCGGCCCAAACCTTTATACATGCTAGGACTACTCCACTGCCAGCTTCAGTTCGCTCACCATCCTCAACGAGCCTCCATAAACCACTCTTAGTCGCCTCCTGGGTCACTCGGCCTACGCCCAACCGAAATCCACCTAGTAGAGCAGGGTGATACCAGGGAGCAGCCCTAGGTTTTGTGTGGAGGAAAGCGACGTTGTCGCCCTCCTTCCTCTGCTCGCTCGTCGTCCACCCTTTCCTCTCCACCTCCGGTGACGCGCGATCGCCAGCTCCCACCATCGCCGCGCTCGGGCCGGCTCTGGCCGCCGCGCCTTGCGTCGCCAGCGCCGCCGCCTCCTCGCCGTTCGCGCCCCGCGGTCACCGTGCATCGCCACCAGCATGGCCTGAAAGTCATCGAGCCTGCGCTCCATCTGCCGAGTCTCCTCCAATCGCGCCTGGCGCTCCTCCGCAATCAGAGTCATGAGATCGCCGAGGCTGACCGGTGCCGCCTCCTGCTCGGTCAAGTCCTCCAACTCGCCCGCCGCGACGCCCTGGTCGCGTGTCCGCGTGGGCTGCCTCGGCTGGCCATCCGCCACCACCTGCAGCGCCGCGCGCCACTCCATCGTCTTGGCAGTCACCAGTTCGCGGCCCTGTTCACGCGCCGTCTGAGCTTGGGAAGTCCGGATGGCGTCAATCTGTTGTTGCACACAGGTCCAGTCCAAATCAGAGAGCCGTATCGAGCTCATGGTGGCTCTGATACCAATTGATAGAACCTGGGATTAGGGTTCTATCGAGAATTGGGGATTTAGGGATTAAGAACAGAATTAGGGATTTTGAGAAGAGAAAGATAGAGAATCGACCTAGGCCTTTAAAGGGATTGAGATCGAGAATTGAGAGGATTGGGAGAATAGGGTTTAGGAGATTGTTTCTTAATATTCTTCTTATTCCCCGAATAGACGAATAACAACGTACATATAGGAAAGAACCATAAAACCCTAACAAATAACCTAATACGATTAAAAGACTAAGTACTCTAATATAATAATAATTATAGAAACCAAACGGAAGTTGGTTTCTATCACAAACACTGGAGAAAAACTTCGATGGGACGGGTGCACCAACAAGGATTGGTGACGTGGTGCACCCGACCAATCCCGTCCCGACACGTGTCAATAATAGACATTAAAAATTAGAACTTAAGAAGTCCCCTTTCTAATTCAACGAAAAAACCCCCTTTCTCTGTGTTGCGGTGTGGCCGTTGCGGGGGACTAGGCTTTCCTCCTCTCGCCGGCGAGTTTCTTTCTACGGTGAGATCGGGATGATCAATTCGGACGATAGGGATTTCTAACTATGGCAGAAACAATTTACCATGGTTTCTACGGAGAAATCGGGAACGGACGGCAGGGAATCGTTTAGTTAGGTCTCTGGGCTTTCCGTTGCCGTCGCGTCATGTCGGGAGTGAATCAGAGGAGCAATATCTTCGTACCTCTTCCGAGCTCAGATTGACCAGAGCCTGGCGCTTCAACTCGCCGTCGTCGATTTTCAATCCGATGAGCCAATACTGTTTAAGATGAAAACGAACCCGAACCCTGACCTGGTAGCTGTGTACCGGAAGACGGAAACTTCAACCGATATTGTGACGATCAATAGACATTTCAATCTCGTCGGTGTACAATGGTTCTACAATGGTGATGTTTATCGGTTTGGGTACTGGAAATTTCCCGTGGATCAATGACATTAGGAAGGGAACAGAAAAACGGAAACACAGAAATAAAAGGGGATTCTTAAGTTCTAATTTTTAATGCCTATTATTGACACGTGTCGAGACGGGATTGGTCGGGTGCACCACGTCACCCATCCTTGTTGCTGCACCCGTCCCATCTAAGTTTTTCTCCAAACACTGGGAGGGAAAGGGAAACTTTTGCTGTCCTTCATAAAAAGCTTTTTCTTTAGCTCTGGAAAAGGAAGGAAGTATGAGGTTTACCTTGTACCAGGTGAAAGTGGATGGGATTGCATCAGGCGTCAAATTGCTCCATTCTGATTCCTCATTGCCCTCTTTTGAGTATAATTTTGAGAACTCCCCCTTGAGCCCAACCTAAAAAATATATGTAAGAACCTCATTGTTTGTCCATCCATATGTTTGCTTTTCATTGAGGTGAGGGAAAACATAACAATTGAGAGAGAGAGAGAGGTTGCAGGAACATCTAGCAGGATGCATGATTTTGTACTGACGATGAAAAAGATGAAGCAGCTGGACAAATCTAGAGCAAAATAGTTAATAAACCTGGTGAGTCCAGAACAAGCTTGAGAGGTCTATATCTCCATCTTTAAATCCAGTAATCTTAGTTTTTCCTCTAAATCCTGCTCCATCTCTCTCTAAGAAGGCACCATAATTCTGTTTCATTCAATCAAATAAACAACTCAGATCGGTACACTTCATTTTAGATCTCCTTCAAAATGAAGCACTGAGGTAGTTACTAAGAAATGCAGATGTAAGGCACAACTTGAAGACCTTCATACTGCCATGCATACTGGACTTTTACCTGCAAACCCATAGTCTGAGATAACAGCACTACATCATTGTATCCTTTTTGAAGCTTGACTGGCTGGGACACCTTAACCCACTTACCAGTAGTACTGCCTGAATCCCAAAGAGAGAACAGTGTAAGCTTTGAACAGCACAACAGATTGAACAAGTGTGCAAGCTCAGGTTTTAACAGTCTAAAGCACAACCTAAACTAAATAAAGGGCTTGATGCAGCATGTCAAGGTTGACAGGGATACATGCAACAGTGAGGAAGAAGACAACCGGTGGGATATTGATATACTTCTGTTCCTATCACATGATTCAACAATGCAACTGATTTCTAGCAAGCAATCAGTGTTTCTCTTGAGCCCCAAACTTTAACCAAGTACCTAGATTTTATAAATTAGCAGAAATTCAAAAGAACCTGATGTTTGCCTATCATTTTAGATAATCTAACCCAAACCATCATCCCTATCTTTTTCGCCACCATTTTCGGGGAGGTGATTCTGATCTAAACTGTGAATTACCTAATGATTGCAGTGTGAGCTTCTCAGTTCACTAGTCAGGTATCATCACACGACCTATTATTACCATTAGCCAGTGGCGGATACATGGATCATTAGGGACACCCCTAAAATTTGGGATAACGATTATCCAACTTCAAATAATAGTTTCGTATGGATAAAAAAATTATAATCGGTAATCCGGGACACCCTTAAATTTAAAAAAAATGATTATCCTAATCTCGGTAGTAATTTGTGTATGATTAAAAAAATATAATTGGTACTTTGTATTATTCAAACTTAGAACACTACTATTGTTAAACATATTCTCTAGGTTTCAACTCGTTTCTTGTTCTATTTTAAACACTATAAAATAGTAAAAACATTATTTCTTATCCCCAATTATTTTCAAAATCTAAGAATTAACTAATTACGGGTTATCCTTAATTTGAATTGATTTCATGGTTACAGGACAATAGTTAAAAGAGTCTTTCTACTTTGAGTTACATCAAGAACAAGGTTAAAAATCGAATATGCGATCAGTTCGTGCATTATTGTCTAGTAGGATATACAGATTTGTTGAACAATGTAGATATTTAGTCTATTTTATATTTTTTCTTTCAAAATATGAAAATACGTCCTGATCTTTTGTTAAAATATGTACTAGTCGGATATTTTCTGATTTATGAATTATTTATTTAATTTTTAATTTAATTTAATTTTTGGAAGAGGACACCCCAATAAAAAAATCCTGGATCCGTCACTGCCATTAGCAGAACTTCCTAGTCATTCTATAGCAAAAAGGTAACCTCCTCTCGTTGAAGAGGCATAAATAGAGGTTGATAATGAGACAGACATGATCACATGGAGAATAGAAGTGCTCAATTTATGAATTACCAGTAAGCTGTCCGTTGATGAATATCCGTAAAACATCACGCATACTATCTATTGTTATGGCAGGAGTCACTTGGTTTTCCGCCCAGAATGCAACATCATCATCTGAAACAAAAAGTCTGCAACCAAAAAAGTATATGTCAGCTTGAAGCCATGCGGGCAAATAATTTAATTCAAGTTGTTTGTGCTTAAGCTTAAATGAATTTAATACCACAAATTTATGAAGTCATATCCTATCTACCATAACAAAAAAATTATAGCCACGTTTGATTACCTGGTGAAATACCACAGGTAGTCAGATTGGTCCTTTGTCACGTTCAGGTGCTCCAGGATGCCTTTAGTAGTGAAATTATTCTCACTCCAGATAGTAATTGGCTCTTTCACAACTAACCAGGACCCTGACATAAGTGACCCTTCCTCAGCCACGGAATGCCGAGGACTGGAGATACCTGGAGCCATAGACAAAGCAAGCTCCACACTTTTTATGGAAGTTTGCGCCGTGACCTGCCCTTAACACAAGGATGGAAAAAAGTAAGAAGAAGGAAGCAATTAGAAGACTACTAACTGGGGACAGCTAAATATGGAGCCAAACTTTCCAAGAAGCACATGCAGAGACCAAATGTCATATTAGATGAGTGAACCCCAGGAAATATCTTTTTCTTCTTGGCTTTCTAAACAGAAAACAAGATGCACCACTTTGAAAATTGAAAGATTTACTTGTATGAGAAATTAACGTCGCTAATATATTTAGGAAACTGAACTTCTTATAGAAGTTAAATCTAGGGCATGAAAGCCACAGAACTGAATGGCAAGCAAGGGCAAGAATTGCTAGTTCAAATGACATAGAACAAATAATGGATGCAAACCTTGGCGGTGTTGAACACAACATTCTTGCAATCTGGTAGTACACTCACTGACCATGGTGGTAAAGCATAAGACTGGCCACGGAACGAAACAGTTACCGTCTTGTGTTCATCAATATTCGCAAGGAATGCAGCACACCAGCTTTGATTTTCATAAACATGTGCCTGACAGCAAGGATAAGCACTATATGATTTCATTTTGTAGGCACAAAGAACTTTAAATGCATTAAAATGAAATACTTCAGCATGATCGCCACCAAACTTCTCAGTGAAAAAACAAAAGCTAAAACGAACACTTTTCTGGAGGCTGTGTTTGCACAGGCAACTTATGCATCACTATCAAGCAAATATTGAAGCTTTAACTCAACGGCTGCCAGATACCTAATACAGCGTCACTGCAGAATCTATACGACCAAGTATTTTCGTTTTCCTTCCATGTCTAAGTAAAACGGGTTGGCAATTGCAGAATTTCGAAGACCAATTTCCCTCCTTGTAAATTACTTCACTAACCTATATATTACTGAATGAAATGATCAACTTTCTGCAGGCTGTGTTTGGTGCAGGACTTATGCACCAATATCATGACAGACATTGAAGCTTTTTCTCAACTGCAGCCATATATCCAATCCAGTGTCACTGCAGAATCTATATGACCAAGTACTTTGGTTTCCTTCCATGTCTAAGTAACACGTGCTAGCACTTTCAGAATTTGGAAGACCAGTTTCCCTCCCTGTAAATGAATATCCTATATATTGTGGAATGAAATAACAATGAGCAGTACAAACCTCTTGAGCCCATGAGCCCCAGTTTATGTACTTAGGAGAATCTGTGGCAGTTAAAGCAGGTTCACAAAGCTTTATAGCAGCATGAAGTTCTTTCAAGTGGCCCCATTTGGGCTCTCTTAGAAGACCTGCGTCGGGAAAGGGACCCTCGTCAGATTTGGGTACAATACTCACACTGGACTAAATACCATGCATTCAAGGACAAACCAGTCCCATATTCAGCTCTAGTATAGTTTATACTTGTATATTTACTCACCATACTCATCCAATGGGGCATCATAATCATAGCTGGTTATATAGAACGGCCCTCCTGATGTCCGACCAAAGTTCGTTCCACCAAAATACTGTGATAAGACAAATGATCAAAAAGCATGTCATGAAATGTATTACAGCATACTCTGTATACACTGAAAACTATTTATTTATTTTACCATATAATAATTTTGGAAGCTCCCTCCACGTTGGAAGAATCGTGCAACTGCAAAGGCAAGGTCTTCAACTGGCCGATGTGGAAGGCCCTCACCCCATTCCGTGTACCTACAAATAATTGACCGCAAATTGTAAATAAAACTTGCTTTGCACTAGAAGAAAACACACCCAGAAATGTGTTTATGGTAACAGCATAAGTACAGAGTGCAGAGAGAAGTTGCTTCATGAAATTAGATCATACAGAACATGGTCAATGAGTAGGGAGGTCATGCTGCAGTGAGAAATTGCATATCATCTCAACTTGAAAACAAGCAACAGTTTTATTATACTGTCTCCTAAAATAAGTAACAAAGGAATGTCATACCATCCATCCCAATTCTCTGTCCAAAGAACTGGCTTGTTAGGGGAATTGGGTTTAAAACCGTCACAGTAGTAATCATTACATGCATCAATCTGCACAGATGAGAAATCACAGCATGAAACTAGCTGACATATTGACATAAAGCTTCCCATGCAGAGATCTGGTGTCATATAAAGCATATCATGATTCGAATATATGTAGTATAAAGAGCTTACAATATTTTCAGGCGCATCAGTTTGCTTGCACATCACCCATGGAACACCAGCACCAAGTCCCAAAGCCATCTTAGCTGCCCATTGCATGTATCTCTTGCCCCCAGGACCAAATGAGTTTTCTATGTTTCCGTATTCATTTTCTATCTGTCAAAAGGTCTCTTCTGGTTATTCCATAATAAGAGGAGACGGACATGGAGTTAATGGTTCTTGGAACATTTTTCAAGACTAAATTATGTTCGATGGAATTTGAAGATCGTGACAGTTGCTGGATAATTATCAAACCTGGGAATGCTATGGCAAACCAAATAAAATATCAAAGTTGGATTTTAGATTTAAATGAGATTCTTCTCAATCACACACAAAACCTTGTAACTGACTAGACCAGTGACCTATTGACTTCAATGGAGATTGTTGACATATAAAAGTTTTTCTTCACCAGTTCATTCAAACACATTTTATGATTCTCAAACAATGAAAGTTGTCTTACAACCTGTAACATGATGATTGGACCACCTTGCCAAGCGAATAGCATTTCCTTTCTCATCAGATCCACTATCATAGTAACAAACCGTTGCATTTCCTCCTGTTAATATGAAGGCTCATCAAGATTAGATTCATCGACAACGAAGTCAAATTCAAAGAACCACCCTGCTTTAACAAACAAACAAACAAACAAAGAAGAGAAAGAGAAAAAGTAACAGAAGAAGAAACCAATCTCTGGGTATTTAAAAGAGAAATGCTGGTGGATTTGGATTCCTTCCATAAGGAATTTCGAACCCAGGAATTTACAGTTTTAACAAGCAAAGATAACAAAAGACATGGTTAATAAAAGTGGAAAACTGTGATGAGGTTGAATACACTTAGCACTTGGTTTTCCCTCCCGGTATAGGCTACATGCTCATCGTACCAACATCAAATATGTACATTCAAGAGATTAAAAAATCCAAAACCAACATAACTTTCTCTAGAATAATTAGAGTGAGCAAAAGTAATATAACAAAAAACAGACAGCTGATCATGCTGAGAATTGTATGCCAAAAACCATTAAAAAAAATATTTGTACATTAACTCTACCTTGAAAGGAGCATTGTCTGTTCGAAATGCTATGCCTGGGATGTCACGTAGCCACACAGGAAAGCCCCTGCAAGTAAGAGAGTAACTGAGATAAGACACATGGTGGCTGGTAACAAAAAATTCTGTACCAAGAAGTCTACTATCTATGACCAACTTTTGGAAATGAAGTCACAAGAACTTCAAAATATCATCTTTCTATTAACAATGCACACACACTAGTAATAAAAAATTCTGCTCCCTTCTTCATGTGACAAAAGAATGCTCATCATTCCATGGAAAAAAGGGTAAGCATCTTTCAAGTAGATAGATGATAGAGAGGTCAAATCTCCTAAACATAAAGTTTCTTGTCTACTTGTTTTTCCCCGAAACAGAAAAACCCTAACCATTTTAACTTCATGTTGCACAGCTCCTTTCCTACTCCCCCAAAATTTAAGTTGAAGTTGAAGAAAAATCAAATCTTCCCTGTAATTACTCATCTTCTCCACTTAAAGCTTCAGTATCTTCAGCTTACAGTAAGAGCTTAAACAAACACTAACATTCATCAAAAGGAGAATTCAGTGAACCCTTGCATGCTAACCAAAAAGAAGAACCATTCTACAGTCACCAAAAGAAGAATACAGCGAACTATTCTACTTGCAAGCTAACCGAAAAATTCAAGACTTAGCAAATGGTGCAGCAAACAATAAGTTTATATCATGCAGCGTGATCTTGAAGAGAGACGTAATAGTATTCTGCGTGAAGTAGTAAGAAGCCAAAATACTCAGAAATTAAAGCGGAAAAGGTAGGCGAGACCCAAAGTTCCACTCTGCACAAACATAAGGACCAATGCGAAGATGAAAGTAGAGTCCACTGGCTCCCACTAGCTTCACAAACTTGACGAGATCAAAATTCCCTTCAAAGTTATACTGTGCACATGATCAAAAATATCATCAGCAGCCAAGGAAGAAGCATTAGACTTTAACTTTTACGCTTAGCGAGCTGCTACCAATACAGACAAGGAGATGACAGGAGAAATGACTGTACCTGTCCTTTAACCGGCTCGTGCCCGCCCCAAAACACATATGTCTGGATCACATCTGCCCCGCCTTCCTTGCTCTTTGCAATCAGGTCCGGCCACATCTGACATTATGCCCAATAGAAATCACAACCACCAATCAACTGAGATCTTACAAAAGCCAAGTCAAAGAGAAGTACACTTTGCAGGATTTAGCTGAAGAACGCAGATGCTATGCGTTCTGATCGTCTCCATAGATGAAGTAGGTAAGGTTGAACGCATTTATCTAGCTAATTTCTTGGGCTAAGAACAATTTGATAACGGCTGCTTGATTATTAGTAGAAGAAGACTGATCAGTGATCAGTCCACTTAGACACCGACTTATGGTCTCAATCAATTTGTTCCCATAGAATTCTACGACATCGAACAAACTACTACCCAAGCAACACGTCGAATCGAACGGTAGCCTCCACAAATTAGTAGAATTCGAACTCCCCCAATTTAGCAGCAAATCATCAACTCAGAGCTGTGAAAGCAGGAACGATATAAAAAATGGAAAGACGAGCTGTTACAACGGAAGAAGCGGAAGAAGATATACTTGAGGAGTGGCGCGAGGGTAGTGGATTCCGGCGGAGATGAGCATCCGACGCTTGCCGCCGATGATTATAGCCCGGTGGTCATAGGTGACATTGAAAGGCTCGAAGAAGTTGGCATGTACAATCGCGAAGTATAGGAAAGAGGTCAACGATATAAAGAAGAGGAGGAGCATTGCTCCTCCTGTTGCAGCCATTTCCGCAGGCTTTTTGGCTGGATGAACTGAAGGAGAGGAAACGCGGGACGGCAAGGAGGATCGGTTTCTGGTGTTTTTTAAATGCTCTTTCTTTAGCTTGTGGATAAAGCAAAACTTTGTAGGTGTGATGATAAAGAGGGGGTCTTTGTTGCTCCGTGACTGTGTGGGCGCGCGCGGCGGAGGATTGAAACGCCACATTGGAAGTAGAGTAGAAGTGATCTCAACAATGGTGCTATGATGGCGACGGCTTCGTCTCAATATGATATTTGGTTAGATAGTGGTATGAGTACGCTAGATAGAATTGTCTCACATCATATCATTTTTTACATTGTGAAATACATAATCTTATAGCATATCATATCATTTATTTTACCGTGGTGAAATACACAATCTCATACCATTTCCGATGTGATATTTATTAAATACTAGAACCGATACCCGCGGCGTAGAGGCGGGAAACACATTTGCATGAAAGAAGAAGGTCTGAACATGAGCTGGCGTTTTTTTTTTTTTGGGACAGACAAATTGGTACATTTGTATGCACAATTTCTAGGAGCAGAAGACACTAAGGCAATACCATTGATAGGCAATCTGTGTGCTATTCTTTTTACAGAAAGCAAATCCACAGTGGTGACTCAGTACAGAACTTGACGAAGAGCACTATTCTTTTTCCTTCCAAGCAATTCCTCAAGGCAGTAAGATGGAGATCTGATTGATGAACCGAAAAGAAGTTCCTAACAGTAACTTGGTATACAGGGTGAAATCGCGAACTTAAGGTTTTAGAATGGCGATCAGGCCCTCCATGATCCAACCCCGCATGATTTTTTTGGATGAAATTGCGATTTCAAGTTTCTTTCAAAATCAAATACCTCTTATGCTTATTGTTATCAAACATGACCACTTGTAGGAGACTGTGGTACTGTCAAAAAGTTACATTTTCTTTGGGTTTCCACTTTCCTTTACCTTGTGAAGTCCTACCTGCAGCAAGATTAGCAAACAGCAGCGGCAAAATGCCAGCAACATATGAAGGTGACTGCACATCATATGTTGGGAACAGGGAACCATGGCTGCTGATATGAAACCGAATGAGGACCAGCATGTTAAAACTCTATACCAAATCAGACAAATAAATGCCATGATTTTGTTGAAACAAAGGTCTGCAGGACTTGAAATCTACAACAATTGCCTTTCCAAGTTTCCAAGTTCTGACCACCTTCCTTGTTTTTCTGACTCTAATTGTTCTGTTGTTCATTGCATCATTCCATGTGCAAAGATGGCTAAATATCATGGTAAAGGAAACCGTACCGGAAGTCATACCGGCTGCGCCAGTGGTAGGGTATTTTGTGGTAGTACCGTGGTTCAACCGTTGTGTACCGGCAAAATACCGTTTTTATAATTAAATAATATTTTTTTGTTGAAAAACCGTACCGGCAGATTTGTGATACCGTTTCGGAATAATACCGGAATAAAACCGGAATATAACGGATAACAAGAAGCATTATTAATACCATCATGTTTAGTTAGTCATCATTATACAAGAAAACAATCTAGAGATTATAATGCTTCTGATTGGAGATCCAATCTAGAGTGACCAACTCAAACCACACAGCAGGAAATTATAAACATGTTAATACGAACTGGCTGATAACAGTATCATGATCATGAATAAAAGTGGTTATCTCAACAACAACAACAACAACAACAGTTAGAATTGGCCTACCCACTTGCTTGTTTGCCCACTAGATTTCCTCAGTAGAATCAAATCCCTTTTAAATTATATTATTTAATTATTATCTAAATGTAATTAAACAATTCTTCTCATGAAATATTAAAAAAATACAACACCCAAGAAAATTATGAGAAACCTTTTATTATTTCAATAACCATTTTACACCTTTTAAATTGGGTCATGAGTCATGACTCTTCAATATCGATTATTACCCGTACCCACTACCCAAAGTTGAAGAAAACCACAAGCTACTTGAATTGCCTTGCCCCACTCCCCTCTCTCTCTTTCCATGTCATTGTCCATCTCCTTCTCTCTTCCATTTCCTCTCCATATCCCTCTTTTAGATGACCGATTCATTTCAGCAGATGCATGCAATCAGCTTGGAATTTCTTTTGATTTAGATATAGTAGCAGACCTTTCTTTGTCTTTAGAACAATCTGAAGCCCAACCTTACCTGCCGTTGTGCCTCTTTAGCAGCCTTCCTTCAATTTCCCCATCAAAGGCCAGGTAATCTGTTCGTCTCTAGTTGATGGGGATGGCAATAGAAAGGACATAATCTTCCTTGGGGCTTGGAGGAAGGAGAAGCGTTGTTTTGTTTGGCGGTGGTCTAACCGGGGCAAGACCCGAGAACCACCGCACACACTCGTACAGCAAAAGAAAGCAGATCTGGGTTTTGCATGCTTTCCTTCTCCAATTTTACCCTTAGTTATGTTACCCCTGATCCTATTGCAAAACAATCCCAGTCTATTGCCAATAATCATTGGCCCTTGCCGCCGCCGGGTCGCTGGTCACGGGCTTGGCGGTTCTGGTTGCCGGTCGCCAATGAAGAAATGGAGAAGAGGAGCGCCGATTGAACTGAAGAAGAAGAGGAGAACTGCAGAACTGGGAAGAAGAAAGGAAGGCGGCGGCTGTGTTTCGTTCGATTGAATAGGGTTTTGATAATTTGACTTTTTTTTTTTTTTGCTAATATGACGACGTTTTTCTTTCCATTACCCTGCCCCCGGTTAGACCAAAACCGGCCGGTATTTCGGATTAAACCGTTTAAACCGGCCGGCACGATATTCTGCACCCAAACAAGATACCGTATCGGAAGGGCTACGGTTTCCGGTTTTACCGGTTCAACCGGCCGGTACGATCCGGTTTCCTTTACCATGCTAAATATATCGGCCACACTAATTCAGTTGCATGAAAAGCATGAATACATTTACAGGACTGAAGTACTAACGTTTAATACACTTATAAATTGCAGATTATTTCAGAAACAACTGGAGAAAGCCGCTACAATAAAACAACGTTGACGTAGAATGGAAAGAACAACATTTCAGAAGCATCCATGTTTATATTGATAATCATACACAGAGAAGCTCTACCACCAAGACCGGCAGTACATGTACATTAGTGTTTAAATTGCAGAAAATACAGCTTAATTGCATACATTTCAGCAGAAGACTTAGCCATGGAACATTGTAAACCGAACATAGTAAATAACATGACTGGTGAAATAGCAGACTGTTACCAACTGATAGCCATAGATGATCATGACAGCTTCTAGAGGTCTATTTTACATTTGAGGCCTCTCCCAAATCGATGGCGTTTGTCTTTCTTACCTACAAACAATGACTCGTTATTCCACACAAACGACAGCTAACATAGCGAAAAATAGTCAAGGTTAAACAACATAGCAAGTTAGAAGCAGGCAACATAGTGGTTTGCATATTATTAAATTCCAAAAGCACAACAAACAAACAGCATACCTGTCTATTTCCCAAGATGCTAATTGAGTTGGTGAGGGACAACAGGTTCTGAAATAGGAAAAATGTTATTATAAGAATGTGAAAGAATTAAGGTTAGTTCATATCTTAATAATGCAAGGGAGTGATCATGCAAAGTTACCAGGGGAAGATAACTCAGAATACAGTTCCGTCTAGACTATGTTTTTGGTGCAATCAGAGGGTAGCCCATCATCATTTTGTATGAGGAATCTAAGACCTGCTGCCGAGCGAACTCTAGAAATAGCTACATATAGTTGACCATGGCTCAATACAGGTTTTGGCAAGAAAACTCCTACTCTGTCTGGTGTTTGACCTTGGCTCTTATTGATTGTCATGGCATAGCATAGTCGGACTGGAAACTGCCTTCGTTTCATTGTGAAGGGCCATTTGTGCTCACTAAAGTTGAGAGCTATTCTCGGTATAGCAACGACTGTACCCTCGTAAGTACCAGTAAGTATGATTCCTTTGATGACGTTCTGTCCAAGATATGTGACCATCAAGCGCGTTCCATTGCACATACCTGCTAAGGGATCTATATTTCGAAGCAACATAATGGGTGCATAAAGTTTCAGACAAAGTTCATGCTGAGGCAGCCCATTAAAGGAGAGAGAGTTGAGGAACTCAATAGGGTATAGTGTATCCAGGGCTGAATTATCTATTGATTCAGTACACAAACTATCTGTGTTGTAGTAGTTCACTATCTCCTCAGGAATGCACGAAAAAATAGAAGCATTAATCATTGACACTGTTTCATTGGTCAGTGTGACAATAGCTCGGTTTTTAAGGTAGGAGACAGACCTGTAAGACTCCAGCAATCCATGGAAGACAAAATCAACAATTGGCTGAATTGAGTGACCAGCTTGTGGTAGGACTAAGTATTGAGGAATCTTCAACCAAATTCGTTTTGAATTTTCATCCAAGGCTGTAGTAGGTGCAAGGCCATTCCCAACAGCAAGAACCCATTGTGGAAATGTCATACCACTGAAGATTGTCACACCAAGTGGAAGTATGCATCAGAAATAGGTTAGAAATGTGTAAGTGTTGGAGTAGAAAACAAAGTATAAGCCAGGGGGGTCATGAGCTAACCATTGTTTCAGCTGATGCGGATGAACCGTGGCATCACATTTTTCGCAAAAGAATGGTGCATCATGCCGAACAGCAGCCTTAGAGCACACAGCACACGCAAGGTAGCACCAATCGCGCGACATATCTATGTCGGTGATTGTGGCCTTGCAACGGAATCTTCCCCCCTACCGCTCGGAACATAAGAAAGAAACAATTAAATACCTAATAAAAAATGGGGGCGAGACACAAAGACAACCAATAAGGCAGAAGAACCGACTAACCATAGTATAAGTGTACTGAACAGTTTGAAGCTCGAGAATTGTCTTGAAAGATTCACGGTAGAGATTAACAGCCTTCTCAGGAACATCATATTCCGTTGGAACAACACCAATAGTCCCCACAAAATCACCGAAGCTGCATAAAAAGAAGATGAC